TAAAGACTGAAGAATAGAGGAAAGGGGGAAACCAGGGAAAGGGAGTACCAACTGATAGGCTTTGCATTGTCAGAACTAGTATAGTACACTATAGTTACCTAGTGCTGAACTTGGTAACCTAGTTCTTGGGTTCAGTTCTATGTAGTCATGTGATGCTCACTGGTAAACATAGGCAACTCATAGCCTCTTACAGAATTGTTATTAGTGTTATGACACAATGTCCCTCTCTCTCTCTCTCATACACACACAAATAAAGCATGAACTGTAACTTCTGGTAGTACTAAATTGCAGATGATTGCTCAATTTGACATCCCAGTATGATCCAGTTTGACATTCAGTATGATCCAAAATTATCTATTCTCTATTGATTGCTTTTATAACTAACTCATAATTCACCTATGAAAACCAGACAAGTCAAGAATGCACTTTGCATTATTAATTGGTTTTTGGGTCACAGTCATGTAAGGAAATGTGCAGCATTATATAATGCAAGGTATTGAACTGTACTCAATAGCTTCTTGGGCAACACTGGGTGGGTGTACATGAACTTTTACTAGTATTACTGATATTTCTAGTAAATAAGAGGTAATTTCTCATACTGCTTTATCAACAATTAAAATAATGTGGTGCAGTAGTTTGTGTGCTGGCCTTTTAGCTCTTAGCTTAAAGATGTGAGAGTGTCCTGCATCTTGGAAATAGTTTCTGATCAACACGACAATCACACAATATAATTTTCTACATATGCATATTGTCTGTGTAGAAAAAACTGTGCATATATGACTGTAATGCTGAATGTACATTCTGGAAGGTGGTCAGCTGGCAGTGTGTTCTTGCTACTTGTGCAGTGCCACAATGAATAAACATTTGTGTGCCTGTCATACATTATTGCCTTTAACCAAAGCAGCATCAGGATAAGTCAGGAAACTGGATTAATTAACAGGATTAATTTAGTATATCTCAATCCTCTATGAACCCATTGGTCTGCCAAGTTCAGTATTGGGTACACACTGGCTATCCAGGATTTCAGGCAGGGGTCATCCAAGTCCCATCTAGAGATATTGGGGATAGAACTCAAGGTTTTCTGCATGCAAAACATCTTAGGGAGATTGTTTTACTTTTCTATGGATCAGGTGGACATAAAAACAGGTTGGGAAGTAATTGCTTTAAGCTTTTTGATTTGGTTCAGCCTTACTTAGCAGCACTAGGAACTTCTACATTTTAGTTAATTAGAAGATAGAAATAGCATCTTCTCTGGGCAGAAATTATCACTTCAAATTAAGTTTCCATTCTCTTCTTAAATGCAATCACTTTTGTGGAAGGGAGAAGGGGAGAAGCTAATGCTAAAGCAGTGCCCTGTTACAAATGTAGGTTAATCACAGTGAGGAAGCAGGGCCCACATAGGGAAAAAGGGCAAAACACCATATATTAATTTATGCAAAATGTTAATAAGATTTCACAAACTGTCATGAGTTTGTAAGTCTATCCAGTCCAATGTCTATTCCAGGTCAAAGAAAAGCATTGAGTGGTGAATAGAGATCTTGTCCACTGCTTTCAAAATAGCTGCAGAGAAAACACTTATAGTTCTGAATGAGGTTATCACACAGGGTCCACAAATCCTGGCTATCCTCTCAAGACTTCTGGAAGACACAGAGGGCTTAGGGGCAAAGAGAGGATTTATTTATTTGTGCGGCAGTTTGGAGAAAGTACAAAGCAGTAAGAGTCATCTGTCACTGCTTACTTACCTGATACAAATCACAGTGCAAGTGGAATAATGCTCCACCTCTTCCTTAAGCCATCACAGAAATTTCTCTAACCTGCGTGGTGGTTTCAAGATCAGGTACAATAGGACAAAACTCCTGCTGTTCTAATTTATTCCAGAAGTTTACACAGCTGAGAGTTCAGGGGAAGGAGTGCCTGCTGCAGTGTTCTTCTTGCTAAAGGTGTGGGGGCGGGGTGGATTTGCAGGCAGCTGTTATACACACATCCTTTACATGGGGACAGCCAGTGCACAATGGGAATAAGGATAGCCAGTATGTGATTCAGGTTTCACACTGCTAGGCCATCATGAAATTGGAGATTAGGTTTGAGACTTGGAAGATGGTCCAAAAGCAAAAGGTGACAGAAACAGGGTGAGAATCCTGAATGCAACTTTTCAGTAACTACCATATCAGAGACAAAAAGAACTTTTACAATGATCAGTACAAATAAATAGAAGAAAATAACAAAAGAAGAACATCAAGAGATCTCTTCTAGAAGATCCAAGAAATCAAAGGGAAATTCAAACCTAGATCAGGAATGCTAGAAAACAAACAGGGGAACATACCTGACCAGGAGAAAATAAAGAGAAGGTGGAAAGAATATACAGAAGAAGTGAAAGGTTGACAGAGTACTTCAAGGAAGAATCCTATGATGAAGAGCCTGCAATATTAGAAACCAAAGTGAAAACTGCTTTGAAAGCACTTGGAAGGAATAAAGCAGCCAGAACAGATACCAAGAGAATTATTCCAAACTGCAGAGACAGAATCAATCCAAATCCTAACAAGAGTATGCCAACAAATAGAAAACAAAACAATGGCCCACAGACTGGAAATGTTCAGTATACATTCCAGTCACCAAGAAAGGAGATGCAAAAGAGTGCAGCAACCATAAGACCATTGCACTAATTCCTATGCCAGCAAAGTCATGCTCAAAGTGTTGCAACAAAGAATATGACACTATATGGGGAGAGAAATGCCTGGTGTTCAAGCAGGATTCTGAAAAGGAGGAGGCATTATATATATTGCAACTATACACTGACTACTGGGACACACCAAAGAATTTCAGAAGATCAGTCTGTTCTTTATAGACTACTGCATAGCCTTTGACTGTGTGGACCACAAGAAGCTATGGATACTCGTGAATGAAATGGGTGTGCCACACTTGATCGTCCTGATGTGTAACCTGTATCATGGCCAAGAAGCTACTGTAAGGACAGAGTATGAAGAGAATGGTTTCCTATAGGCAAAGGCATCAGAGAAGAGGGTCTTTTATCTCGCTATCTGATCAATCTGTACACAGACCATATCGTAAGGAAAGTTGGATTAGAATCAGAGGAAGGAGTGAAAATTGGAGGAAGAGACATCAATAATTTCAGTTCTGTAGTGTACCATATTACTGACAGAAAGCAGCAATGAGTTAAAACAACTTCTGATGAAAGTGAAAGAAAGTACAAAAGCAGGAGTGCAGCTGAACATTAGGAAAAACTAAATGATTGCAGAAGAACTTTACTGACAACAATTGAGATTGAAATCATGCAAGATTTTACATACCTCAGCTCAGTCATCAGTTCAACTGGGAAACTACAGACAAGAAGACAATTGAGAGCAGGAAGGGCAACAATGAAGGAACTAGAAAAGATAATCAAACATAAGGCTGTTTCACTGGAGACCAAAGCCAAGATCATCCACCATATTATATTCCCGATAACTATATTGGTATGAAAGCTAGACAGTGAGGAAAGTTGACAGGAAGAATATTGATGCCTTTCAAACATGGTGCTGGAGGAGAGCTTTGTGAATACCTTGGGCTGACAGAAAAATTGAACAAGTGAGTCTTGGATCAAATCAAGTCAGAACTCTCCCTAGAAGCAAAAATGACAAAACTGAGGCTGTCATACTTTGGGCACATCATGAGAAAGCAAGACTCACTGGAGAAGACAATCATGCCAGGGAAAGTCAAAGGCAGAACAAGACAAGAAAGATCAAATATGAGATGCATTTGACTCCATAAAGCATGGGTCCTCAAACTAAGCCCCACCATGCCCTTTTAACTGGCCCTCCCCACAGGTTTTGCATTCGCTGGGCAGGAGTGCAGCTTGCTTACAAGGAGGTCATTTGGAAATGCTTGGAGAAACTGATCTTGTGAGCAAGTCAGCACCTCGCCTAGCAGCGGCTTGCTCACAAGGAGATAATTTTGGACTCGCTTGGAAATGAACTCCTTGCAAGCAAGCCAGCGCCTCGCCACACCCCCCCCAACCTCACTTCATGCATACCCCACCCCCACACCGGCCCGCACCTCCCCGCCGGCACCACTTTAGTGGTCCATGGCCACCGCTGGCACCTGTCAACTGGCCTCAAGTTTGAGGACCCCTGCCATAAAGGAAGCCACAGCCTTGAACTTTGAAAAGCCGAGCAAGGATGTCATGGATCCTTGGAGGGCTTTCATTTATGAATTGTGATAAGTTGGAGATGACTTGGTGGCATCTAACAACAGGTTTGAGACACTTAGGAGTATCTGGCACAACTGCTGTTTCTCGTGCATTTTGCCACTATGCTGGAAATTCTTGAGCTCCTGAAAGATGTGTCCCCCTGAATGCTTGCTTTTATTTAAATGTCATGCTGTTCATCCTAATTCATAACAAGCCAGAAAACCAAAGTATTTGATGTACTCATGATAAAGCAAGTAAGCCTCCCAAATGTGGAAAAAATTATCAAAGCACATGTCTTCATTTAGGTGTCTTCTTTCACATGAATACCAACTTGAGGAGCCTTCTTGGTATGTTCACGTTTTTAACTTCCCTGCTATGCATAACAGGAAGTGCAAGAATACTCATAAATTCTAAAGTGATTGCTATATACACAACTAGTAGATGCCAGAAATTAACATCCTGCATTTAGTATAAGTCTTGTTGATAACAAAAGAACGGCAAGGTCAGACTCTGGTTTCAGTAGGGAACAAAACCTCATGTGTTTCTTTTGAACTGCACAGGATCCTCTTTCAACTGAAATCTTAAGTAATTTGTGCAAAGGTGCACTTTAGATTGAACAAAACAAAAAATGCATCAGCAGCTGCTATTGGTTAATCTTTGATTCTTAATTTTAAAAAAATGCAATCCTATAAAATATTGATCGAACAAATAATGTTCTATGAATAATTGTGACATATGTACAGAACAAGGAATTGACTAGCTGAATCTTAACCTGTAATGGCTGCACTCATGCCACTGTACTACATCTATGCTCATCAGGAAAATATTGCTAACCACAACTTCCATGTGCTACTATAGTGAAACAGAAGTGCATGGCATCTTTGTGTGACAATCTATATGTGTTCATATAGCTTCCTAAAAATTAATAAACATGGAAACAACCCTTAATAATCCCTGAAGACACAACTGTACATATTTTTCTGAAAATCAACATCAGTGCTTCCCTGCTGAGTTGGACCCTGTGCTTTAAACCTAGAAATAAAATACAACAAATGAAGTGTAAGACACAGCAGGAATACATGAAAAAGTACACTCCTTATACCTTTCAGTGTGCTTTCTGAATTTTCCATTTCCTCAGGCCCATCTCACAGTAAAATTCATTTCCCTTGAGCACACTGGACATAATCCAGCCAAAGCTACACATTTGTATATTCTACTGAATTCAGCTGGAGAGTTAAACCCATCCCTAAATCTCTTCAGGGATGCATTAGCACTTAAGTCTGGCTGCTGTGCTCACTGTACATATGGAACCTGCACTGCTTCAGGGAGTCATCTACTCATCTAAAGCTTCATCAGAATTCTAGGGTCTTCTGAAATTCCTTAGGTAGTTTCTACTAAAATATTAAAAATGGTAAAAACAAATAAGCATTCCCCAGGTGGGGGGGACCCTCAATGCCCAAATAACATGTTCCAGAACATCACATGCTGGATGTCACAGTGCACCTTTCTCTGTAAGCCATACACACATCCAGGTTGCAGTGATATATCCTTTTCTTTCCTTCTTTTGGTGTAAAAGTAAGCTGAACCCAGATAAATTAATTGTCCCTTTTAATCATTATTTCTCTCTTTATTGGTTGTTACATCCAGCAGATGCTGAAGAGCTGCCTCCTTGTTTCTGTTTCTTACGCCGTTTGTTGAGGAGACGGTTATTGGATGTTTTCAAATCTTTAATTTTGACCTGGTCATAGTCCACTCTCATGGTTGCCAGAGCACTAGTCATCTCCTCCTGAAACACACAGAAAACAACTGTCAGAATTTAGCGAGACTGCCCTGCTACAGCCTGCCATAATATGAGCCTTCTTCTGTGCTACCTGAGCTAAGGCTATGAATTGTATCATTCCTTCCAACAAGTACAAGCCTTGCAGTTGATAAGTAGAAAAATTACATGCAGTATCCTGCTGACAAAGAGTAGAAGGATCAATTCAAATGAATAAACCAATGCACTAAGAAACATTCAGTGAAAACAAAATATTTTTAATATTATCCATTGTTCATACCCAAAACTTGCTGCTTTTTCATGCACTAAAGCCTGGCTTTCTCTCAGGAAACAGTTTGATCGGCTGTTTGTGTTTCTCAGCAGTGGAAAACCTCAGGCCTGGGGGCCAAATATGACCTTATGGGATTCCCCAGAGGCGCAGTACCTTTCCTCCAACCACCAATTATTTGGTATTTTCTTGGCTTTTGTTCAGTTTTCCCACCCATTCAAACAGGTTGAAATACCCTCTTCCTAAGCTGTCATTACTGGCAATAAGAACTTTAAGCTACAATATTCTAGCATTTTTTTCTATCTCTGGCCCATGTTCTTTTGCCTTTAGTACCACTCTCCACTGGAATGCTACTGCTAAGAGCTTTTCCAAAAGTGAATTTGACCCTTGAACTGAATGAGATTCCTCATACCTAGTGAACATTTTACCATCCATTTTGCAAACAATATTAATGAACCAAAGCCACATTCATGCTGCTTAGAACTGTAACTGTCCAGAAGCAAAAACAAATACTGTAAATCAGCAAACAAAAACTTAAGCAATCAAGTAAGCACTTGACAACCCATTACCTTTACTTCATCCCAATGATCTTTATCCTCCTGGAGGACTCGGGCAGTGTGAAGAGGAGTTGGTGGCACCACCATGGATTGCTAAGAAAAGCAAAGCAGCAACACTGCATGAAAATTACTACTGACAACAGAACATTCATAGGATAACCACTCATTGTTCTTCCTGAGGAGATGATTACACATCTTTTTAAAATGTATAAGTATGTCTCCTAAGCAACATGAGAGCAAAGATGTACTTGGCTGCATTGAGCACAGTTGCGTAATGTGGCTGAAAGAATCGTAACTCAAAGACAATTTCACTATGACCTTTTTATAAGAATGAGGGGCAAACAGACAGAAAAGCTTCTAGGGAAACATACATTTACAGCAGCAGAGCAACAGGTGGGGGAAAGGGTGAAGCCTTTTAAATCACCCTCAACCCCCCCATCAAGCATGATAATAGGGCTCTCAAGCCTGCATTTGGATGTGAGGAACCTCTTTCAGTCCAAGGGTAAGTCCAACAGTCAAATTCACTTTAGGAATAGTTGTGTAGTTAGCCCTTGGATAGAAAAAGATCCAGCCTGAACCCCTGCTGCAGCACATGACCTCAGGATGGCTATCCCTTTTCCTAGTTGCTAATGCATTCTAGACTGAAGGATTGAGAACACTTGCATAGCTAAAAGGAGTTTCAGAGGAGGCTGCTACAGATGGTACAAGCAGCAAGTCATATGAGCTAGGAAAAGGCAGACTCAAGTATAATGGAAAATACAGTACAGCCGGAGTCAAAAAGAAACAAAAATATTCTAATACATTTATTCACTGCAAACCCAATTTTTCCTCCCCATATTATATAATCACTTGGATGGCTTTTAGTAGTTAATTTCAACACTTATAAATGCATGGATGTTATCCTACTTATCTATTTACTACAGGATTTTCCAGCTGTTCTTGCCTATTACCCAGCCTGACTTTGGTCTAGGTCAGCTGTAATACGACTGGACCTGGGAAAACAACACTTCTTTAGAATGACCCTAGAAGCAAAGAAGGAAGAAGAGCAGAAGGAAGCTAAAATGAATATGCATGTATTAAATGCAGCATCCGCTATTCCTGTCTTTGCAAACTAGTATGACAGCAAGGTCTGTTCAGCCTCTTCGTGCTCACAACCAAAACATTTGTGTAGATAAGTCAAAATTAAAGTAATGGACCTGCTCACATCCACTTCAAAAGAAATTACTGGTGGAAATAGCCAGGAAATGAGTTCAACCTAAAATATTCTGGGAATAAAGAACACTGACATATGTCTTCCACACAAATTCTTGCCCAGAAGCACATTTCTGTGGGCATAATGAGGCAGGAGGCAATCTTCATATATCCCCCCTCTGTCCTTGTAATCCCCAAAGTTCTGCTCTGGAGGGTTGGCAGCCTTCTCGGCTGTGTGCTGCACAATTGACAAAGACTGCCTCATTCCCTTACCACTTGTGGCAGCATTCAAGAAGAAACCTCAGAATACCCCTGCTAATTGAGAAGTTACAGTGGAGAGAGAGAAACATCCAGTCATTGGGTTGTTGGGTCCATGCAGGAGTGAGCAAGTCTGCTATCTCCTGTTTGCTCATTGTTGCTTCCACTCCACATTTGGTTTAGCAAACAACCCAACAACTAGTCATGGGTTAAACCTCTGAGTTGTTTCCCCACAAGAACACAGAGGTCTGAATTTGTATGTCATAGCAAATATAGTTTGTTAAACCGGATGCAAAGTGAAAGTGGCAGGCAGGTAGGATACAGATTATAAGTGGACCAAACTAACCATGGGTTGATTAATTTTCCTACACTGCTGTTTGTGATAGTTCATCCCATATCACTACCACAGTTATTGGATTTGCACAAAATGGGGACCCTTCAAGGGTTACTTATAATGGTGGGTAATCATGTTATGCAAATGTCTGTTTCCTGCAGAATCCCTTCTTTTGGGGCGACAAGCCACCTTGAAAATTATGGCATGTTCTAGAAGTTGTTTGGGTTAGCATGTTCCTGAACCCAGCAACAATCCCATCATGGGCCCAGGGAAGCAGCCAACAAACTATTCAGCAAGAGGGGCAAAAGGCCTTTGCTGTTACATAGAAACAGAGTGAGTCAGAAGGGGCCTCCTGAGCCATCTAGTCTGACCCCCAACTCCAGCCAGCTGCACTCATGACATGCCTACCATGTGCATGTCCAGCCTGTCCTTAAACACCCTCACAGATGGGGCTTCAACTACCTCCCGTGGAAGCCCATTCCATACCCTAGGGGTCCTAAGCTCCTGGAAGTACTTCCTGGTATCGACCCTAAATCTTGGTTCCCTGAGCCATTGAAATGTGTCTGCCCTTCACTGCAAGTTTGACCAAACCGCACTTTGGAGTAACTATCACTAGCTTACTTTTCCCAGTGTGATTGTGGGCTGGCTTTGCTTTCACCTCTGCTCCCCCTGTGCTTTTTTTCCTTTTTGTAGATTGCTTTTTATAAAAGCATGTTGGAGGAAGGGCTGATTTCTGGTTCGCCACTTTTTCTCCACAAACAATGAGCCTTTTTGGTCAGTAGTTCAAAGTTATGTAAATGTGCAACTCTAACTACCCATAATTTTAAGCTGGGTAAGTGCCTAGTAAGTTCCTGCTGTCAAATCAGAACCATCCATGGAGACTGACAAAGCCAGGCCTCAGATGCATTGCTTAGCTTTCACTTAACAGCTATGAAATGGCAAACGATCAAGTAAAAGCTGAGCCACAAGGTCGTTGCTCAAAAAAGAATGGTGTGTAAATCACCCCCCTTTTCAGGGAGATCCATTCTGCTTTTACTGTGGATCTGACAGCTGTCATTACCCTCCACTTTTTGCCCCTCTCAAGCCTCTACGAAAGTGGAAAACTGCTCAAGAAGGTAGAAAATGCAGTCCACTCCATTTGCAGTAGCACCTACTTTTAACAACTGTCAAAAAACAAGGTTTTTAACTGGGCTACAAAAGGTTTTTTGATGGGAACATACACAGCCACATTCCTGTTTTTTCAAAAAACTGTCCAAACTACCAAAAAACCCCCCACCAAAACCATTTGAGACATTCCTGGTGCAAAGAAATAATTAAAAAAAAAATAGATAGCAACCAGTTAACAGCTTAGCTGTGCTGTCACTAGCTTTCAGTTTTGAGATAATGAAAGGCAATTATCTAATAAATAAATAGGAAGTTGGGGGTGAAATCAGTGGCAATCACAAAAGGGTCATAACTGCACTGGGGAGTAGATAAGGCAGGTTCTCCTGATACCTACAGGAGACTGAGACTGGGGGACAAGCCATGGTGTACCTACTCATCTGTTGGACACACTGTGGGTTATACCACAAGCAACCTACACAATATAGCTTATTCACAGGGTGTGTATCCATATTGTGTGATTTCACCCAATGGTTTCAAATCTGATTGAAGTTCTATGGCTCCCTTAGCCCTTCCTGAAGCACAGATTGCTTTTTAGAATAGTATGTTCAAATATCCCAGCTGCCTCACAGTAGTAACAATTCCCAAAACTCTGGTGACAAGTTTAACAGTTAAATCATACATATGCTACTAAGTTGCAACTTTGTTATCCTGCTCATGGATTCTTCATGAACTTTACAAAGAGAGCCCATTTTTCATACATTTTTTCAAATACTACACTGAACAGCTTTTGTGCTAGAGAACTTACAGCATATGTTTCTTTAATGTGCAGACATGTAAATAAAAGTGGTCAGAAATCAGTGGCATGAAATTCAAGACAATTTATTTACTTATTTATTTTCTACACTGCCCAATAACCAAAGCTTTCTGGATGGTTCACATCCATTCCTCAAAGTATAATATAAAAGCAATACAATAAAAATACAGCTACAATAAAACACACTATAAAATTCCAGCATACAAATACAAAGTCTAAAATTACAATATACAAAATATAAAACAGTTTAAATTTCTAGAAGAGTTTCAAGAAAACTAGATCAAATTAAAACAGCTGGCATAGTCCATCACACACTACTGAATGCCTCGGAATAGAGGACAGTTTTAACCTGACATCAAATAGTGCCACCAGGTGGGCCTCAGTGGGGAGATCACTTCGTAACTGGGGCCACCACTGAAAAGACCTTCCCTGTTGCTTCTTTCTCAGCCTCCCTTGGAGGTGGCATTTGGAGGAAGGCCCCAGATGCAGAGTGTAGGAGCCAGGCAGACAGAGGTTGGGAGAGGCATTTCATCAGGTAGTGCAGCCCTAAGCTTTGTATAGGTTGTAGGGTGAAACCAGAAGCATATAGGCAGCCAGTACAAGAGGGGCAGAATTGGTGCCATATGTTGGAAACTTCTGGTCTCAGCTATTGATCTTGCTACTGCATTTTGCACAAGTGCAGCTTTAAGGACAGCCCCACATAGAGTGCATTGCAGTAATCTAATTTAGAGATCTTGATTAGCACATGCAAGGGTTCAGCTGCATTTCTTTCATTTGCACTTGGCTTGAATTGTATTTTGTTTCATCACTCTCAGCTCCAGGGTATATCATGGAGTCATACAAGCTGTGCTTTGGAGAGGGCACTCAGAGGCAATCTTGTCCACTGCCTGGGTCATTGCTTTGTTCCACAGGTTCACCAAGGCTTCAACAGGCCTGCTCGCTATATCAGCTGGAAAATCCCTTTGAGCCTTCTGGAAACCATCCAGATCCATCAGCCTCCAAGGATGAATCATCTTAATGGGCCCTCCATCCTTGCAGAGGGGAAAAGCTGCCAGTCAGTCTAAACCCCAGCAGACCCTTTTGGGTTTTACTGTGAATTCTGCCAGCTGAAGAAGATTTAATAAGAATTTACTGAATTCAGTACTGATTAAATACTGAATAAATAAATGAGATAAATGTTCCAACGGGAACCACAGAAGACAGTTTCTTTCAAGAAAGGCCAGGCTGATGGTAAGCATACATGTGCATGTCTCTCCCCAGAATGAGATTCAATCACTGTTTCCATAGAGTGGTCCTGGTTACCTATTATTCTGTCTTCTGCCTGCAAAATAGAAACTAAAACTGCATTGGCAGGAGTTCAGGGAAAAGAGGCATTGCCAGGCTTTGCACTACCGGGTGTTCTCCTTATCCTTTTACCATCCCTTTCTAGGTAACCTCAGATAAAAAGGATGCAACCATAGAATCTGGTGTGGCTTAAGGAATTCCTCCATGACAAGCGTGCTTCTTTTTGCTTTAATTCACAGCATTCATTCACAACACTGATTACCCTTGGACAAAAGAAGCTATGGTTTTTCATTTCCATCATACTTCTAGGTTCTCTGCCCAGTCCCTTGAAGCAACACATGACAAGAAACATCTGTAGAGAATGGCCCAATAGAGCCATCACCTCTGGTTTTCTGTATTTACTCATCATCATGGTAAGAGAAATCAAGAAAATTAAAAGCATGACTACTTGGCAGGAAGTACCCTACAGTTGTTTATAGGATGAATTTTCAGCAAAGGTTAACTTTGTCAATGCCTATAGATTGGTTTTTATCTTCTCCAAAATCTGGGCTAGCCTAGGTCACTGGCTATAGTTTAACATGGATACTCAAGGCTTTAGTGCTAGAATACAGTTGGAAAACAAGAACCTACATGATTACTTCCCACACCCAAGTTTTAAGAGCTGGCACACACTGTCTTGACTGCTCCCTTGTTTCTACTTCCATCAATTATTTATAATAAATAGTTTTTACTATCTGCTTGCACAGGTGTTTAACTTAAGGTTTTTTCACTAGGGCTCCCAGTAGGCTTGTGGAGCTTACAACTAGATGTCAGTTTAACCGTTTCTTCTTTGTAGCACATGGTCCTCTAGCCTTCAAGCATTCTTCTCTTCAACCACATTTTTGTTTGGAATACAGTATGAGATGCAATTGTGTACAGCTTTCTTTAAACTCCTTTTTAATTCAAGCCTGTATCTGTTGTTTTGCTCCACACCAATCATCACCATGACCCAAGCAAGTTATCTACATTTATGTTTGCCTTATTTTCCATATCTATTTAAATTGGGTTTGAAAGGCTAAAATTCTTTGCACTCAGATAAAGCATTGGAAGCTACAAAATAAAGCCACAGCCTTTGGACACTTTTACATCAATGTAAGGCATGAACTAAAAAGCAGTCTGTACAAATACAACCCTGATTCTAGATTGAGCTTGGGGATGTGCAGGAGACAGTGAGGAGCGGGTAGGAGAGCTTCAGGATGATCAGGGAATAGTTAGTGAGGAGGGTGACTGCCTAGCTTATCACTGGCCAGAAGAACAACAGAGGTTGTACCCCATCATTTGCAGTAAGGACATGCTCAAAATTGCCTGCACACTGCTGGTGGATTATTTAGCGGCGTTTAGTTTCTTTGGGTGAATCCTACTACTTTAAAAAAACATGTAGATACAACTGAATATGTAAGATGCTGGGATCCTTAATAACAGAAGGAAGATGAGAACATAAATGGTTCCTGCAGAGCAATGCACAGAAGAGAGCCACTGAAGGCTTTCAGACTTCTAGCCTTATCAGCGCCTTCCTTTCAGCCTGAGGCAAAGATTTCTTTTACACAAAGGAAGTCTAGTTTTGGGCAGTGGAAACCTTTTAGATAGCATGACTATTAAAAGCAGGTTCTGCTACTGTTTTCTGAGAATGCTGTGCAGAACCCTCTACTATTGCCCCACTATGTGTGACAAAGCCAGAGAGCACCATTAAAGCAGCCGGTTCTGTATTCATATCAACACAGTTCAGCATGAGAGTGCCTGGGATGTCTAATAATAGACCTCCATAAACCCAACACCGATGAGGTAACATAGCTTTTTATAAGTGGGGAAAGGAGGATGTGTGCATGGTGCAATGAGCAGCAAATGCTAGCTGAGAGCAGTTGTGGAGGGGGTGTAATGTACTTGACTGCCACTGACAGGGAGAGATTTTCCCCCAAGTGTTGCCTCACACTGTGACAGAGAAATTCTATCCTTTTTTACAAGGCTGGCTCCTGGTTAAATTAGTTATATTCTCCCTTATGCCAGCAGGCAGTCACATAAACACACACACACAAGTGTGCATACATGATTGTGCAGGACTTACGTTAATCCAGGGGTGATTCATAAATTGAGAAATTGTCATCCTTTCTGTTGGGTCTGTCTTCAGCAACAGACGAATTAGCTGCTTAACTGCAAAACAAAACCAAAAGACAAGGCCAGGAGAGATGACAAAAACCTACCGAACTCAGACACAAGAACAAAATATTGAAAAGCTAGTAAGAGACCCTGAAGGCTGGTTGCTTTTCCTATACTATTTAATTGAAAAAAAAGTATGACAGCTCCACATGACTATGGAACATTGACATGGCTTTATTTAGTGATGATCTGCAAAGAATGAAGAAAAGAGAAAGCATGAAGGAGAAATGCTAGAAAATTATACAAAGCGAAACCATTCGGTAACATGAATTGTGGAACATACTCTTTGGTGGTGGTGTCTCTCAAGTCACCCTAGTTCCACATGTGACAATCAGGTTTACATACAGGCAATTTCCACTGAGTTCAGTAGGGCTTAATTCCATAAAAGCATGCTTAGGACTGCAGGTCAAAATAGTTTTGCTAGTTCATAGTGCCACAAAATAAAAAGCAGTTAATCGCTTACATCTGGGAACTGTTCACACATTCATCGAGGTAGAAGTGAACATTTTGAGGGAAAACAGGTAGATCCCACACACTTCACAAGTTCATTCAGTCTTGTGAACAAAGTCTATATCCATAAAAGTTAGATGAACATAGATGCCATTCATAGTTTCAGGTGAACACATGGGCCAGTGGAGCGAACCTGCTCTTCTTGTCCCTGTATTCACTTTTATATGGATGGAGGGATGGGTGAAGAGAGAAGAGTGCTGAAATTTCTGAAACTTCCTAGTACGGCAAGTAGTGAAGTCTTACACTTCTGAATTTCTGCTTAGAAAGCAGTGGTAAATTACTCCAGTGTGGTACATCAATGAGCTACTCAGAATAATATACATTTGCTACCTCATTTCTGTGCTATATGTAATTCACTTTTGGAGACACCACATCTGCAAGCAGTAGCTGTTGCTGATACTACAATACATATCAACCAGGCACTAATACAAGATGCTGACACCATTTCAAGATGAGGAAAATGCCACAGAGGTATGGATGATGCTCAGGCATGGCACTTGTTAACTGAAACACATGCTTGTACTCATCTGGATTCCTGCTCTTCCTGATGCTTTATATATTTAAAGAGTTTAAATAAAATAAAAAAGGGAGACTGGTATGCTGACATATCAACTCCCAGTACTAGCTTTATTTCCAAAAATGCCTCTGGGGCTCACATAAACTCCAGAGGCTTTCTTAGAGTAAAATGGCGGGTGATTGTAACCCAAAATTTCATTTTGAAGCATCCCCAAGCACCTTAGAAAAGAATAGCATAAATTGCAAGGTGAGGGTGGGGGCTAGAGAGGGGCTGCACTGCATGTATGTGTGCTTTGCCTGGTTGCGCTTTGCTTTCTTTTAGGATTTGCCATTTTATTCTAGTATTGTGTGTCAGCTGATTTGCTTCTTTAGATGGGGCCTATGTATGTTGTCTGGGGCTCTGTGCTATGAGTATTTTGACTGTGTGCCTTTCTGAGGTATTTTATTATGCTTTTGGAAAACAACTAAGTCATTTGTTATTTGGGGTTCAGGCCCAAGTTCTGCCTTGACTTCGGTTTCTTGGCCAAGTAACTATTTCTGAGCCTCGCTAGTTTGCCTCCTAGGAAGCAGTTGCATTGTGCCTGGCTATGCTCACCACAGCAGCCTTTTTGTAAGGATGCCTACAAAAACTCTCTAAAATTGAAATGTGCCCACTAGCTCAAAAGTTCAGGGAGCTTGTAATGCATTTAGAATCCCTTCTTACTCATGACAAACACCTAGCTATCAGAGACTCATTCACCTTCATCTGATACCTCTGACCACTCAGGGTTTGGAAATCCGTATTGCCCCATCCGAATTCTCCTCTTCATTCCTGGAGAAATGGCTTGACCAGTGTTGGAGTAGAATGGAGGGAAGCCACACAAGCTGCAAGAGAATGGCATATAGAGAAGAGCTTCTGCTCACCACATCACCCCCTCCCTTCCATGTAGTCGCATATGGCTGCTGCTGATTCTTCTGATGGGATGACTAATAACCCAGTGACTAACTTCTCTAAGTGCAGTATAAAAGGAAACATCATTAGGGTGGCATTAAGCAAGGGTGTGGGACAGGATATAGAGGAACTGCTCATCCTGACATATCAAGAGTTCTGCTTTGTTAATCTCCTTCTCCCCACTTCACACTTACAGAATGTACATGATGACACCAAGGGACCACATATCGCAGGATTTGTCATACTTCTCAGGGCCAAGAACTTCTGGGGCTGTGGAGTGTGGTGGGGAAGAGAACCATAAGAACAGTGAATGTTTTGTTTTGTTTTGTTTTGTTTTGGGGGGGGGTTCATGTTCACAACAGATCAACAAATACTTTTTTTGAAATGCCAATTAATTCTTTCAATGTAAGCCCTATGGATACAGATGAAAATTGGCATGTATTTATCATTGGTCTAAGCCTGGAAGACTAAGCCCTGTGCTTCAAGGATACGACCTAAGCTCCAGTACTAGCCTGCCTGAGCAAATGAACAAGGAATCACAAGTTCATTCTGGCCTGCCACAGTCTATAATACCTATAAAACTTTGATGCTTGTTCCTCAAGTGGATCAATCTGTCTCTTCCACTATATGCATTAAGCTCCTACCCCCTATTCTCAGCCATTGCTCAGGAAATTGACCCCTATCCAGTTCTGACTAGCTACTTCCCCTTCTGAGCCCAGATTTCTGCCTTGACTTGAGCTCCTGCATGCTTTGGACCACACATCTGCTTCTGATCTAGTCAAATCCCTGCACCCAACTGCTTGCTCAGGCCTAATAACTGGGGGAAGCACATTGGCAGAACACTCTCCTCCCACCCTCCCTTCAACACTCAAACTATTTTAAAACAAGGGTGGGAAAAACAGACTCACCTACATAATAGGGAGTATAACAGGGGGTCTGCAGTGCATTATGCATGGTTGTCTCTTTAGCAAACCCAAAGTCGGTGAGCTTGAGCACTGCATCCTTCGCTTTGGATGTATAAAGCAAATTTTCTGGCTGTGATGATGTCACAAAAGAAAGATAAAATAAAGATGAATAGGAAATGTTTCTGGGCATAGGTTTTACTGAAGTGCAGGCTCTGTTCCATACTTCAAAATTGATAGGTATGGTACCTATTAGCAGTAGATTGGCAATGGGATGATGCCAATATTAGATCTTTTTCGGTAGGCCTTTCAAAAATACACTCAGCTCCTAGGTCACTGAACAGGTAGAAAATAAATAATTCAAGACAGGAACCAACAAGCTCTGCTATGCATGGTAACTGGGTCTGCATTAATCACCATTGTCTACTTGTTTTATGGCTTAGATTTCCTTGTCTCTTATCAAGGCATTTTCAAGCCTCACCTTGACATCTCTGTGCGCTATGTTCATCCCATGTAGGTGCTGGATAGCTGTTCCAATGTCTCTCATTATTTCAGAAGCCTCTAGAAATATAATTTTAGGGAAAGGTCACATTAACATTCCCATCATACCTCAGACATATGCAACTAAGCAATGCTTCTGAGTAGCAACAAGCTTGTTTGTTTACAGGGCGAGTGTCAAGACAGGGAAAAACTAAAATTAGCCTGAACAGCTGTGTTTTGGTTTTGCATTGACTGCACCCCCACACTTTCTTCTTAAATTCTTCTGGTCTTTAGTCCCTGCCTAGAAGGCAACTATAAAAATGATAGAAAATTCTGCAGGCTGCATACTTGCAATACACAAGACACAAGATTAGTTTCTATGGTATGATTAATCAATTTGAACCCAAAATAGTAGCACCTTTACTGTATAAAAATATTTTGAAAAAAGATGGCAGTATTTGGTACAGTTTCAGGCCACAGATGTATAAACTCTTCATAAAGAGCTCTGTTTTTCCCTGTCTCCTTCTTCCTGGAAATGTCTGGGAAAGACCAACCTGCTGAGTGCTCCTAGCCAGGCTCAGGTCTCCCTTTGATGAGACTAGCCAGGTGCTGTTGGAGCATACCTGGGAAAAAAGCATTCTACCCAACCTTTTGCACATTTCAGAAGATACCATCTGATTTGGGTTCTCCTCTTAAAAACAACAAGCATTTTCTCCTTATGCCCACACATTTCCACAAGCTCTGTTTACCAATGATGATGATGATATACCTTTTTCTGTGAATGCTTGGTCTCCTCGCTCTTGGATCCTGCTGAACAGCTCCCCTCCTTCCATGCTGTGGACAAAGTGTGTGCACACACATATAAATCAAAATGAAAGCAGAAAAGGGCGTCCCAGTTCCGTAGTTAATTTTTATTTATTTATTTAAACAACTTATATGCCGCCCCATCCCATGAGCCTCGGGGCAGCTTACAATCATTAAAATCCCATGTAAAATACAAAAAATTCATCAAATAAATAAAATACAAAAAATAAAATAAAATAGTGGATCCAGCCTGGTCAATTTAAACCAACAAATAAACTATTAACAGTTAAAATAGCGTTTAAATAAAAAGGTCTTGGCCTGGCGCCGAAAAACAAACAAGGACGGCGCCAGGCAGACCTCTCTGGGGAGCGCATTCCATAGGTTGGGCGCCACTGCAGAGAATGCCACAAAATATGTGAGAACTGCTATTTTTCCTCTCATATCTGCTGTTGTGATTCCAGTAGTAGTTGCATGAGTATTATTTTTAATAGCTTGTCAAGTTCTCATAGCCTTATTACCTAAAGAAGGTTTAATTCAATAATTATTTTCCATAGATTCTTAATTTTTTAGAAACAGCAATCCTGAAGATATCTTGCTTGCTAGGTAGTTGAAGGAAAACATGTTGTTGGTTGTATCCAAATTCTCCTGCTCACAAACTGTTAGAGTCTGTGTGGTTCTAGAAGCAACTGAGATCCATGGAAAGTAAGGTTGGAAGAATAATTGCCTACCCCTCAGAAGCAGGCTCAGCAACAGTGTAAACCTCAGTTGTTAACAAAAGTACATTCAAGGTAGGTGCTTTCTTACAGTCTTCTAGGCACAATTCAAGGTACTTATAGTCTATAAAAGCCCTCAAGAGCTTGGAACCCATACACCTTATAGACTTCCTCATAGCCCTTCATAACCATTACGAATGAGCAAGAGCTTGGCAATATCTGTGGATCATGTTAAAAGTGACAACTAGCAACCCCAGGCTGAGATCTGGAACTCCTGGTCCAGGCTAGCATAAGCTCTCCGCTGGTTTAACCACCAGTTAGGCTACATTTTGAAAAGAATCACTCATCTTGACTCAGCTGCAATCTTTCAGACAAGCTACTGAAATACCACTAACAATAGAATCTAAGGTACTTAGCAGCATCCATGACTACTGTTTCAATAAAAAATAAATGACTTATTTGTTCCTGGATGCCTGTAGGTGCTGCCCTTCTCTAAATATTGTGCGTGCACGCGTATTAATAAATAAGTTAAAGTTCAGGGGAAAAACAAAAGCACAAGCTTTAAAACCTCAGGCTTTATATACAGGCGGGCTCTTCAGAGAAAGCTGAATCATTGCTATTGGTTGTCCCAAATGGAAATGGGCACAATGGACTGTACTGCAGGAAGGCTAAGAGTAATCACTGTAGTTCTGATACTATCAACATTCTGGAAAAGATAAAAAGAGACCCTAATAAGTAGTACAACTCTATTGAAAGGAAATGTAAAATTGGCATCATGAAGTTTCTGCATAAGAAACTATAAAGGGGAAAAATGGAAGAATGTGATCCAAACAAACATGTGTAGAGTTGAGATGTGACATGGAAGCCTTGGATAATTTGATTTGCCTGTATTGCCACTTATTAGGGGGAAAGTCAGATATCCCCCTGCACAAGCTTCTCCATGAAACAAGGGGGAATATATTGGTTCTGTCCCTGAATAAGAGCAGCCATTCAAAATACACAGAGCATCTACTCAAATAAAATATTTTACAGTGTCTGTGGCTTTTTCTACTTCACACAGGAGCTTTAGACACCTCTGCATGCATACTTAAGTGTAGGAAGTGGGGCTTATGTAAAGCTGGCATGATCTGGAATTATCCTGGCCATCAATATATATCATGCAACTCCATACATCTGCTATAAGGACAGGTGGGAGATCAGTATAAGCGGTGAACTGATGCAGGGTGGCTTATGAATGCATCTTGTTTGGGCAGCATAAGCACACTACAAATTCAGAACCACTCCATGGTCTGGTTTCATGCTTCCAACTATTCGATTTTCTCAGGCAGTTGTATGTTGCTCCACTGACCTAAGGCTATTGGTACACTGCTTGGAAATGTATTAATTTAAGGACAATATATAAATCAAATCAAAAGTTCAGATATAAGAACATAAAAAGAGCTATACAGTATCAGAGCAGAGACCTATTAATAAACTCTTCTGCTCTCACAGTGGCTAATTGTGTCTATGGGAAGCTCACAAGCTGGACATAAGCACAATTTAGTATTGTGGATATGTTTTCCAGCAACTGCTACTGAGAGCCATAATGCCACCAATTCTGGACATCATACCAGCATTTCTAGTAGCCACCAAGAGAGTGGCTGCACAGTAAAGTCCAGCTCCCTCAACTGTCAGGTTTCTTGGAAGCATCAGAAATTTTGATTAGTAGCTACCAATAGCTTTATCCTCTACAAAATGAACAGTTCAGCCAACACCATCCAGAGAAAGGCTCAGCAGTGATTGCTATCTTCATACCCAGTTGCCCTGGCTTCCCAGAAGTATCCAAACAATCACTGCAGAAACAGCACTAAAAGCTCCCTCCATCTTATTCAGCAGACTCTTTTAATGCCTACCTGCATCCTACTACACAGGCATGACTGAGCTCAGAACAATGCAAAATTTTGAAAGAAAGTGGAGCGCTCTTTAGATTCAAAATGGAGTCTGGTCAATAATTACATGGGAGTGAAGTTAACATCATGGATGCTTTATGTGGACCAGAAGTCATGCACCAATAAAGAGAATGATGAATGAAAACATATGCACAGAGGGATAGGCACAACATGCTTTCTCCAAGAAAGGCAGGTTGCTCACCTGTAACTGTCATTCTTCAAGTGGCCATCTGTGCATCACACGTATGGGTGCTGCGCCTGCACAGTGCCTGCAGCTGGGAAGATTTAAAAGCTTAATGGTTTTGGCGGGAACTCCGCACCCCTCCCCATCATAGTATAAGAAGGCAGAGTGTCCGCCATTTTCCCAGTGTATTGAAGACCAACCGTTCTCCCACAAGTGGAAGTGAAGAGCATCACATATCAAGTGTTTAAAGTGTGTGTAAGCATATATGTACATGAAGATACACCCCATGGATCCGTAACCAAGCAGAACACGATGCCGTAAAAACCCAGTCACCAACACCAAGTGGGGCGGATAGGTTGTGTGAATGCACAGATGGCCACTCGAAGAATAGTTACAGGTGAGCAACCTGCCTTTCTTCGTCATGGCCTCTGTGCATCACACATATGGGTGATTAGCAAGCTTACCAGACCTGGAAGCAGGATGGTGTCGTCACTTGCAGAACAGAAGGGAGGACTGTGCGACCAAAGGAGCAATCTTGTCTGGCACATACATCAAGGCGGTAGTGTCTGGCAAATGTGCAAGGGGTAGTCCAAGTGCCCGCCTTGCAAATATATAGCGGAATGCCTGCAGAGAAAGCAGAGGAAGCCGCAACAGCCCTCGTGGAATGGCCTCTGGGCATGACAGGCAAGTCGAGTTTAGAAAGTTGATAGGCCAGTTCAATGGTCTGAACAATCTACTTCGAGAGTCTTTGGGACCCAAAGGGGGACCCTTTGTCATGTTCGGAATACCTGATGAAAAGGCATCTGGTATTGTGAAAAGATTTCGTACGGGATCTGTAGAAGGCGAGGCATTGACGACCGTCAAGGGAGTGTAGTGAACGATCCACGGGCGTAGACGGAGTAGGAAAAAAGGCCGGTAAGACAATGTCCTGATTGACATGGAAGGGTGACACGACCTTCAGAAGGAATGCAGGATCAGTACGCAGAACGACCTTATCTTTATGAAAATTGAGATAAGGAGGGTCTATACGAAGTGCACAGAGTTCACTGGCCCTTCTAGCTGATGTGATAGCAACAAGGAAGGCAGTCTTCCATGACAAGAGACATAGGTTGGTAGTTGCCAAGGGCTCGAAAGGAGGTTTAATGAGCACTTAAAGGACAACGGAGAGACTCCATGTCGGGACAAATGATCCAACCAGTGGGTAGAGTTTCTGTAAGCCTCTAAGGAAGCGAAAAATAAGGACGTTAGAGAATACCAATGAGCTGGCCACCTGGCCACGGTAGTGAGAAATCGCGGCAATGTAAACCTTAATGGACGAAGGTTTAAGTCCCATCTGGTGTAAGGATAATAGAAATTGAAGAACATTTTCAATAGAAGCTGAATGGGCAATAAAGTGGTTGGTTTCAGCAAAAGTTGTAAAGTGCTTCCATTTGGCCTCATACAAGCAACAAGTCGTAGGTCTTAGCACAGACTGGAGAATGAATTGAATATCAGGATGGAGAGCGCTCGAGTCCAATGGAGAATTCGTCGGTATCGAAGAAGGATGAACTGCTGTATCCGAGCACCACCGGGCCAGTGTTGAATCCGACAGTACTGTCAGTACCGAGGAAGTAACAGGACCTATCAAATGAGCCAGGCTGTCAGATTGAGCGAATGAAGGTACGGTTGCCATACTGCCTCGTTCTGCTGATGTATGAGATGAGGTATGCAAGGCAGTCACTGGAAAGTGTTGTCTAGCAGACGGAGAACAGTAGGAAACCAGGGTTGGCGAGGCCACCAGGGAGTGACGAGAATTCCCTGGGCCTCGCTGAGGGTGATCTTGGCAAGAGTTCTTGTAATGAGCGGTATTGGAGGAAACGCGTAGAAGAATGTGTTTGTCCATGGAATCATCAGAGCATCCACTCTCGAGCCAGGACCAATCCCCACTTGGGAGCAGTAGGCTTTGCAGACCACATTTGCATAAGTGGCAAATAGGTCTATGTCTGGAGGGCCTCATGTCTAAAAAAGGTGATGACAGACTTGAAAATCCAACTCCCATTTGTTGGTCGTCGACATCTGTCTTCTGAGAGCATCTTCCTCCTCATTGTTGGTGCCAGCTAGGTGAACGGCAAAAGGGGAATTTCCCTCCGAATGCACGAGTCCCACAGTCTCAATGGTAGATGAGCGAGGGAGGCAGACTTTGTTCCGCCCTGTCTGTTGTTATAGAACACAGTCACAATGTTGTCGGAGGTCACTTGAATGAAGGGTATTCTCGAATGACCGAAAGGCCTTGAAGACTGCCAGGAGTTCTAGATTGTTGATGTGTCTGGCAGCCTCGTGGTCGTCCCAAGTGCCCTGAGTGCGAAGACCGGCACCAAGTGCTCCCCAACCATGAGAGAGGCATCGGTGAATAGAGGCAATGCTGGATGAGGTGGACGGAATGGAATTCCGAGAGACAGATTGCTTTGTACAGTCCACCATGACAGAGTCTGAGGAACAGAGGATGGGAGATGGAAGAGGTCAGTGTGGTGAGTCTTGTTGTGGGTGGAAGAGGCTGTTGAACAAGAGTTGGAGGGGCCTCATCCGTAGTCTGGCATATGGAGCCACAGAGACTGTGGAAACCATGGGGCTTCTGTATAGACAGTGCTGGAACAGTTCTGTCCATGTGGATTCGATGAATGAATGAACAAAGCTTCTTCTGCCATTCTTGAGGGAGGAAGGCTCTCGCAATCATGGAATCAAGACGGGCTCCGATGAAACTGATGATCTGTGAAGGAACAAGGCATGATTTGTCATAATTATTACATAGTCCCAAGTCATCCAAAGGGGTGCATGTAGTCTGAATCGCTGATCGAAGGCCTTCTCTGGACAAGGAGACAATCAACCAGTCATCAAGGTAAGGGTATACTTGGATTCCCTGAAGCAGGAGGTGTGCATACACCAGGGCCATGCATTTGGTGAAGACCCTTCGAGCAGTAGCCAGTCTGAATGGTGAAACATTGTATTCAAACAGATCGGAACCAACTGTTGAATTGCCACCTGCATCGCCTCCTTGGTGAAGATGCGAGCCAGGTCCCTCTGCTACTCCGGGAGTGACGCTGTAATATTCTCCAGTTTCTGCATAAGGAAATACTGGTAGTGAGCCAATGTTGCCTCATAATTGGAGATGCGGAGCCCGAGACCTGTGATGGCGTAAATATGGCAAGCCATCATGTTGATCTTTCGCCCTTCCTTCTTGCAAGGAGTGGAGTGTTCTCTCAACTCGTGACCCTGGGACGACTCCACAACGATTGAGTTAGGCTTCGGGTGACACAGGAGAAATGAAATGTCCTGTTATTGGATACATAGATTCATATCGCCGTGAAGTCGGCTGCGGCTGGTTGGGGAACTTTCACAATTCCATCATTGCCTGGCAGAGCATCGTGATGAGTGGCAGAATGATGGCAGCGGACTGTTCTCTCTTCACGATATTATAGAAGTTGTCGGTACTGGGATCAAAGCAGTGCTGGGCCTCGATCTCCAATGACCCAGCCAAACTTGCCATTAGTTCCCCAAAAGTTGAATACGACTCCTCGGGTGAGCTGGGACCCTGTGTAGTCATCACCGCGTCTGGTGAGGACGACACTCCATCCAGATCCTCCAACTCTGAATCATAATGGAGCGGAGGACTGGAGGAGGAGTCGGCCAGCGAGGAAGGGTGCTTGGTCTGAACTGCTGCAGATGTCGATGGAGTGTCCCTCAGGACCAGAGACAGTTTATGCTGGTGTACCGATGGATAATATCCATAGGGTGCATAGTTGTCCCATGGTTCACGATGGGTGGACCCATACAGCCCTTGCACCCAGTCTCCGGAAGGACGGATGGAAGCACACTGCTGGTACCGCACCTGCTGAGGTGGGACCCTCGGGGAAACCTCAGGCAAAGGCTGCAGGGTGGGCGAGCGTGCCATCAGAGGAGCCATCTGTGGAGAGTCCCGGATCTCTATGTCAGAAATTGATCCCAGTATGGCAGCCTCCAGACTATCTGGTGAGGACAAGACTGAAGGGATGACCCTTTGCGGGGCCCTGGTGGGGTCACCTGCATAGCCAGTTGAAGAGCTGGGCCGGTCGGTGTTGATGTGACACGGCCATTGGGACCGACGGGGCAGATGATCCTGAATCATGCTGACAGGGCTGGTCGGCCTTCTTGGTCTTATGGGCCGTCTTGTCTGCCCTGTCCTTCTTAGGCTTCTTATGGCTCGAGGACTTGTCAGATCTGCTGTGCTTCATCTTCTCCTTTTGTTTGTGAGGAGACTTAGGGCGAGGCGGAGGGGCAGCCAAAGAGGAAGGCTGAGCAGCGGATTGGGCTGCCATTTGATCAGATGTGACCAAAGCCTGGTCCCAGAGAAGCCTGCACAGGTGGTTCTCCCAGTTTTTTCGTGCCTGCTTGGTGAAGGCCTGGCAATGGCCGCACTTATCAATCCTGTGACCTTCTTCAAGGCAGAGAAGGTACAGGTCGTGCGGATCAGTGCAGGACATCTTGACCCCACACTGGGAACACTTGCGGAAAGCCGCACACTGAGCCATCGAGATGAAAGGAGAAGATAGCAAAGTCAAGAAATGTAAGAAGAGAATAAACTTTATTTTAAAAAAAATTGGGGGGGAAAGGGAAAAAAGGGGGAATTGGAACAAACTTCTAACAGGGAGGGATGAATAACTTGGAAATCTTAACAAGAAAGCTAAGAGAACAAGAACAGTTCAAAAAGGAATCAAGATACAACAGTAGCTATGGACTGAAAGACAAAAGGCTCAAGGCACTGCGAACGACAGTTGCAAGAAGACTGGGGAAATAGCGGGCACTCCGCCGTCTTATACTAGTGGTGGTGGGGGGGTGGAGTTCCCATCAAAATCATTAAGCTTTCAAATCTTCCCGGCTATAGGCATTGTGCAGGCGCAGCACCCATATGTGTGATAAACAGAGGTCACGACAAAGAATATCTGTTTTCAAAGCTCTGAAATAGAAGACTTTTCATGATTCCAAAAAGGTCTACAGATCAATGCACTCCCTTTTGGGGGGGATTATGGCCATCATATGGAGTTTTCCAGGCCGTAGTGCGCTGTTATACTGCCCAATGAAGATCCCACAACTTTCTCTTAAGATACCAAAACATGGATCAGGTGAGAGTTATCTTACCACTCCATGATGATGAGGAGGCATCTCTTCCCATGATGTATATTTTCATAAACATCCAGGATGTGAACAATATGGGGACAGCCTGAAGCCCTCCAATGATGATCCACCTCTTGTCGTGCTTTTGGACTGTCATATAAGAGCTGCAAAGCAAAGAGGAGTACAATCAAACCTGCCTTTCAGCTACAATCCTTAGAATTCTCAAGGTCAAGAAATGTAACAAATACAGAAGCACAGAGCAAATTTTCTTAATTTTTCCAGAACAGCTGTGGACATCTAGCTCAGAAGTTGCTGTACTTGGGAGGAAGAATTTTCAGCAAACAGTATCTTCCATACTGGAGTAGAATAGCCCTAAGATGCTAGCTCTTGCCTACAGCTTTTCAAAATTGCTTAAACCTAGAGACCCTTTTAGGGTTCATATTGAAAAGGAGCATTCTGCAGATCTCTCTCCAAAGTACCACACTTTGCCCAATGTGGAGAAGCCAGCAAACCTTCTGCAAAAGACTTAAAAGCATTAACCACAAAGCATGGGGATTGGGAGAACAACTGTAGGTCTTCTTCCTGACAAAAGCAACACCTAATTTGAATGGAGTCAGACATTTCTGCTTTCCACACAACACAATGAAAGTTTGTTTCTCTTTCTCTGCATTCTAGCCAGCACAAAAACTAGCAACTGCAAGTAATACTCCAGGGCCTTAAAGCAACCAAGGATTGTTAAATACACAGTGACTGTATGAATATGCTTCCTGAATGCTAAATCAACCTCATGCATTCCAGGGTCACTGCCTACAATTCTATGCTTCAGCCTCACTATGCTCCACAACTTTATTATGAAGTGTCTACTAACAGTGACCATCTAAATACATCAAGCCTTCCTCCATCACAAGAAGTCTCTACTGAGAGACCAGTCCCCCAAATTATTATTGGACAATACTCTGAGAAGTATGTCTATATTTTTTCAACAATTACTGTTCGATTAAATATACTCTCTCCTAACAGGGAGGAAAATACCCACCTCTCAGAAACCCAAATTCTTTGCCAAATAAAGCTGAATTCTACAACTTGTAGAAATGTTAAGCATGGGAAGGATAATAAGAAGGAAATGGAAATATTCCCCCCTGGAAACATGTTGTCTTATATAGCCAGTCTTCTTAGTCCTGAGATTACTCTGGGCATCATCCCACATACTTTCAAACACATCTTTATAGCTGTGTTTATAAAGCTTATAAAACACAGCTTAATGCGGCTGTGTTTAAGCTGCATTAAAAGGGAAAAAAGCAAGTTAAGATTCTCATGAAATCAACTCCTATGTCCTGTAATCCACTCCATGTTTATTCTTATGTGGAGTCATGGATTTGAATGCAGATTTACTCATACTTGAAATCAATGGTATTTAAACTAGTCATGACTTCAGTGGCTCCAATCTAAGAAAGAGCAAGCCTGGATCCAACCCATGCAAAGCCCTAGGGTTAAATAAAATTGTCTAGCTAGAATCCAAGGGAGGCTTCACAACAGCTTATTTTGCTACAGAAACCTACAGCCAGAAAGGGCAGGCATGTATATTGTACAGTCACCTATTCACCTATTCAATCCATCACATATGTTTATTTTATAAATATATTTTGTTATTTGTTTTTTGGCACCACGTGAAGACCTTTTTATTCAAATGTTATTTTAATTGTTAATATTATTAATTCATTTTATTCTTTGGCCAGGGTGACCTAATTTATATTGTTAATTTATATTATTCTATTGAAGTTTATTTATGGTTGTGAGCCGCCCCAAGGCTTTGGCGAATGGGGCAGCATAGAAGTCTCCTAAATAAATAAATGAATAAATAAATAATTTTGGAATAAATATAACACAATTGTCTACTGTAACTCATTTATTTAATTTGCTGTAAAAAGTATCACTTTATGTAATGTATTCATGTTGATGTAATTATTTGTACACTTTGTGTAATGAACTGAATGTGTAACCAAGTGATTCACTAATAGCTATATTAAAAGAAGTAATCATTTATTAAACTATGAAGACATGGCTTAGGAGGCCACAGAAAGTCCAATAAAAACTTGTATAACATTGCACACCGTAACCATGCTAGAGCAATGAGAAATAATAGACTGAAGCTCAGTCAAGACAAGACTGAGATAACAGTATTGTGAAGAAGTTCTTCTGCTGAATGGAAGATGTTCAGCCTGTTTTAGATGGGGTTGTATTCCTCCAGAAGGAACAGGTTCATAGCATAACGGTTTCTCTGGAGCCTGTATTGTCAATTGAAGCTCAGCTGGCCTCGGTAGCACAACTACCTTCTACTAGCTTCAACTGGTGGCCCAGATAACCTATTCTGTGGACAGGGATAACATGGCTGGAGTAATCTATGCTCTGTTAACCTCCAAGTTAGAACACTGCAATGCATTCTGTGTGGGGCTGCCTTTGAAGAAGTTTCTGCTTGTACAAAATGCAGTGGCCAGAACTATAACAGAGGCCACAAGATCTGAACATATACTATTGTATATAATCAGCTTGTACAAACTGCCTGTATGTTTCTGAGCCCAATTCAACATGCTGGTTTTGATTTATTAAGCCTTACAAGGTTCAGGACTGTACTGGAGGAGCACCCTTTCTAATGTGAACCCACCATACACTATGATCTTCATCTGAGACCCTCCCTTCAGGTGTCTCCTCCAAGTGAGGTGCTGTGCCGAATATTTTCACCAGTGAGGCCCATCAGCTGTCAACATTATCTTTTCACCACCATGTTAAATCTTCCCCCTATTCCCAGACATTAAGAGAGCATAGGACTTCTTAATGCTTCCTGAGATTGTTGCTGGTATATTTTTTAAACCATTGCGTAAGGTTTAATTTTATTTTTTTATTTTTGCACATTAATGGTTATATATAATGCTATCATACATCTCCCAGAAAGCTCTGGATATTGTGCAGTACAGAATGTAATGAATGAATGAATGTATGACCATGTGCAGTTCTCTCTATATGTGGAGATTATCGGTGTAGGAAAAATATCTGTTCATGGGACAATGGAGCAGGGTAGGGCTATCTGATGTTAGGTGCTCTGCATGCCTATGAGATGAAAGAACACAATTGCTGGAGTATGACAAATATACACAGAGAGAAAGGAAGCAAGAACTGTTTCACACAGTACTTTCTTTGACACTGAAATGCATCCCACAATTCTATTATATTTATTCAAAATAAGTCCCACTGAGTTCAGTAGGATTTGCTCCCAGATACAGTGGTACCTTGGCTCACAAACTTAATCCATTCCAGGACTCTGATCATGACCCAAATTGGTTGTGAGCCAAGTTAAATTTCCCCATAAGTTTCAATGTAAATAAGGTTAATCCATTCTGTAACTATTTTTTTTAAATCAGAAAAATGTGAAGCAAAGTGTCAAAGAACAACAGAGATCGCGGCCATCTCCCCCCCCACCCATCCTGAGCAGGAGCGCGGCAATCTCCTCCCTCTAGCACGGCCGTGATCATGTCTGTCATCTCTGCACGCACCGTCATAGCGGTGCGCTGGGGTGGGGGAGAGATGGGTGCGAACACGGGCGTGGTCGGGGGGAGAGACGGGCACAATCCTGCTGGCAGGAGAGATGGCTGAGATTGCAGTTGCACTCATGCAGGAAAGACGGGCGTGATCTCAGCCATCTCCCCATTCGGGGGGGGGGGGGGGAGATGGCCGCAATTGCGGTCACCACCCAATGTGGAGTTCACAACCTGAGTCAATTTTTTAATGATATTTTTGTTCGCGACCCAATTTGGTCGTAAACTAAGGCATCCGTGTGCTGAGGTACCACTGTATTTGAAAACTTAGCACACAATCTTATAGGAGTGCCTTTAACCTTCTAAATTCAAAGGACTACAGTTAGCCTATGCAGATTTAGAGCACTACAAAAGCAAAGGTAACTTCACACTCCTCTGGCCCTATAAAACAACTATACAGTTCATTTCAGTCATCTAACTATGGCACTTCAAAGGGAGAGAAAAGAGGGCTGAGGCACTGTATCTTGACAAAGCTGGTCTCCCCCCACACCTGGCAGCCCTCCAAATGCCCACTAATGCCCGCTTCTCCGAGTTTGTTTTGTGACCTCATAGAAGTGACCAGCATAGTTCTTTCCATGTCATCTCTGAGGTGGCGATCCATGCTCAGTGCTCATAATCTGAAGAATACTGTAGTCTCCTGGACCTAACCTTAGGGGACCACAGAATAATTCTGTTAGCCTGGTAAAAGAAAGCATTGCTTCTGACATAGGACAGCAAAGTGTGTGAGTACCTTCTTTGGCACAAGTAAAAAAGTGTGGTTAATTTTAGTAAGTGTGAAGCAATCCAAAGTCTTTTTGTCTTTCAAAAGAGCAGACACTTTTTTCTGCAGCAAGATTGCAGCAACATTCAGCAATACAAGGACATTCTGGCACATCTTAGAAATGTTCAAGGAAGTTTTATTTACTCTAGATTTATAAAGAACCTTGTTTTAAGCTTCCATTTTTATTCAAATTATGATAGCCACTTTGTTATTGCAGGGATGGACATATGCTTTAACACTTCTGCTTTCCTTCAACCAACAGAGTTCCTAAACGGCAAATACCTATTTTCAGCAACTACTTCAAGTAGACTGTTTTTCTAATATATGGGAGATTTTGTGTGCACACACCATACCATTTAGTTTTTTAAAAAGAGCCTTACCAAAGCTAGAATTCTACATTAAGGACATCAGTCTATCCAGGTATATTTCTACATAACAGCCTGTTCTATAATGGTGTGAATTTTCACTCTGACTTTTAGCATTTGGGCCTAACACTTAAAGTTCTAATTAAAATTGTATGGAGACACATGTATAATGAGGTCTAAATCACCCTGGTTTTAATCTCACCAAGGTTGCCATGGAATATTGCTGTTTTGAAGGCTGGCGATGTAACGTCATGGCCAGCACCATTTCAAGTATGGATACCTCAGTTCCTAGATAGGAACCACAGGTCAACTGTCCCTTCCTTTTCCATTTCTGAAGAATCCATTATTGCAGAACTAGTATCACTCAGGATCCTATGATTTTAGGATCATAGAAGATCTCTGACACCTGCTGCTCAGACATCTTCTGTTAGACATGGGCTTGACAACCG